CTGAGGGGTTTTCCTATAGGAAAAATGTTATTTTCTTTTACCAAAGAATAGTTTTCCTTACAAAAAATCTGCCTTTTCTACTATAGGGGAAAATATCTCCTCAGTTATAGAGGATTTTTCTATAGGAGGAAATATCCACTGTGGCTACAGATTTGTTCTTTATTTTCATATAGAACATCTGTCCTCAGTGACTGAAGAATTTTTTTTTCTATAGGGAAAATTCTGACATAGTAACTGAGAATTTTTTCTATGAGGAAAATCCGTCGTCAGTATTTTTGATGGGGAAAAGTCAGTCAGTTGTCGGTCCTCAGTTAGGAGTATTTATACCCTACACAACTATGTTGTCAGGGTATTATAGCTTTGTGCAGGCCCAAATGTTTGTAACGCCGCGAAATATTGGTCCTAGACCCACCTTTAAGTATACCGATCGTCATATCTCGACTAGCTGAGTCGATCTAGACATGTGTGTCCGTCCGTCCGTCCGTCCGTCTGTCCATTATAATTTGTAAACACGATACAGACCACAGTTATTGACCAATATTCACGAAATTTTGCATGTAGGATGGGTTCTGGCCAATGAAGACCCCTATTGTTTTTGGAAAAGATCGGTTAATATTTAGGGGATGAAATGGACCAAATACTAAATTTTTGTCGGTTTTTCTGGTCGCTCCAGAGGCCGCAATTATGGCCCAAACACCGCGAATTTTTGCATGGAGAAGGGGATCGGGCTAGAGAATAAGCATGCATGTTTTGATAAAGATCGGTCAATATTTAGTGGGTCAAATGGACCCTGACTTTTGTGTGAAAAATGACAAAATTTGTATTCTATGGCATATATATTTACTCCTGGAGGATGTAGACCCCCAGGAGTTGATAGCATATCCAAGAGGAGTGGTTGGCCTTTAAATTGATACCAAATATAGTGATGTATCTACTCAGATGTGGGAGTTACAGTCAAATATTTACAGGTGCTTACGTATTCAGATATTATTTAGTAACCCATTACCACGTTAAAGGGAGAAATATCGCGCTGATGGCTTTGAAATTTTTCATGAAGTTCCAGTTATGGTCAAGAATAACGCCTACAATTTTCGGTGATGATCAGATTAATATTTTGGGATGAAATGGACCGAAAGCATAATTTTTTGTGTGTTTTCGAGTAGAGTATAATCCGAAAATCACTACACACTCACCGTGAAGGTAATCTGGACAAGTAATTAGAAGGACTGTACTGAATATTCGAAAAACGTAAGGAAGAGGTGTTGTTAACCTCTAATCGGACAAGAGGGGGCAAATATCACGAAATATTACTCAGACTCGGAATAAACATCCTCAGAAAGTTAGAGTTCGTGGTAGTTGTGTAGGGTATCGTATGGTCGGCCCCGTCCGACTATACTGCTCCGCTCACTGGTTTTTCTATAGAAAAACCTCTTTCCTAGTGACTGACAATTGACCCTTTAGTTGCTGAGGAGTTTTTTCAAAAAAAAAAAATCAGTTCTAAGTGAAGACATTTTTTTCATAGAAAAAAAATTCTAGAGAAAAAAAATTGTCCTCATTAATATTCTTGTTTTATAGAAGAAAAAATTCCTGACAAGTAATTTTTTCTACAGTAAAAAGTAGAACAGTAGTCGATTTCTAAAGGAAAAAATAAGTCCCCAGTGAAGAATTGTTTTTGACGGATAAAAGTTTGAACTCGGATACTAAGGGGTTTTTATAGGAAAAAATTGCCCTCAGTGGCAGAGAATAGGGACGAATCTTAATGACTGAAGATTTTTATTCGAAAATATCTGTCTTTATTGTATGAAGAATTTTTTTTTAATCTCATTTGTCTATAGAAAATGAATTGACCGAAGAATTCTTTCTACAGAAAAATTTATTCTTCATCGATTTAATTGTTTTATTTAATTTATTATTTTAATATATATTTTTTTTTAATTTAACGTTCCGTCACCTTTCATTTTCATTCCAAATATTTCAGTTGATCAAATAATTTATTTGGTATACAAATCGGCAGCTGTTAGCATTTTTAACAGTTTTACTTTCTATGGTTGGCCGTTTTGAGCCGATTAACGGTTCTTAAAACAATCCAATAAAAAAAGACGTTTTCAAAATATTTTCATCTCTGTATAATTTCTGTGTCAAATATAATCGGCAACAAGGCCATTTGATGTGAGACCATAAAGCAAAAAACCAAAATGACAGCTTCCATTCTTCCGATCAATGATTAAAATTGTGTCTACAACTGTAAACAGTTGTTCGACGATATACAATTTCTTTGGATTTATTGTATGATATCTGATTATAACGAATACACACACACAACATTGTTTCCGAGCCAAATCTAATGAAGACGTCTATTAGTGAGGTAGACTTCTACCACCATCACATTCATATGGAATCGGAATGAATTGGAACAAGCGGTACAATAACCCGGCCAATCTTTAACACACAATAACAATTGGGGCATGTTGTTGTTTTTGTTTGGTGTTATATTTTTTGTATCCACAATTCTTAAACAATATCAGATTAACAACAACAACAACAACGAGAACGTGTTGTTGTACAATTCAAAACATTATAAATTAAATTAAAACCGTTAACGGTGTTTTGAATTATAATCAGCTAAACTGAATTATTAGCAGCAGTCACAACAGCAACGGCTGCCATCAAAGGTGTTGGTGATGGCAGTAGGCAGAGATCATGCCAACAATGTCTACAAGCCACGATTGAATGAAACGATGGCTGTGTGACAATCGAGTAGATAGAATTCGGAAAATGTCTAGTGGCAGAGGTTGGGGCAGAGATCAGTAAATAAGTTTTAAATTAATTTGAATAGATTCGATTGAATGATTTTTTTTTTGATATTTTTTCGGAATTTATGTGAGAAGTAATTTTTTATGTTAATTTGGATTGGATTGGATGCCTATAGCAAAGCGGGATATAGCAATTGATAAAATATTCAAAAAATATGTCTGCCGCTTAAAAGAAAATAAGATAAAGAAGAACCTAAGGTCAAGATTTTTTAGCCGGATATTTCTTTCTATAAAAATTATGTGTGAAAAAAGAGTTCGACATTTTATATGTATAAAATTCTTCTGTAAGAGATGAGTTGGAGATTGAACCTCTGAAGACTTCTATATACCTCCACGACAATTTGTCTTTCCACATCCCTTAAATCGATAAACTGAGATCGTATTTTTTTTTTTTTTCTTAGAAAAAAATCCCTTGACCTCAGTTCTATATACTGAAAAAAATAGGAAAAATCCTCATTAAACTTAGGTCGAGATATTTTCCTATACAAAAAATTACCTCATAGAGTACTGTGGTCGAGAATTTTTTTCTATAGAAAGAAAAATTCCTCAATGAGAAATGATGAAGACAGATTTTTTCTATAGAAAAAAACACATCAGTGAATACTGAGGTTCAGAGATTTTTTTCTATAGAAAAAAATATCTCGGTGAACAATAAGGTCGAAAGATTTTTTTCTATAGAAAAAAATACCTCAGTGAGTACTGAGGTTGAGCGATTTTTTTATAAGAAAAGTACCTCAGTAAGAATTGAGATCAAGAGACATTTTTCTTTTTAAAAATACTTCTGAGATTACTGAGGTCGAGAGATATTTTTCTATAGAAAAATATACCTCAGGGAGTACTTAGGTCGAGAGATTTTTTTAAGTTTGATTTGTATTCTAATGAAAAAAAATTTAGATGAAATAAAACAAGTACTTTTCCATAGAAAGAAATACTGAACCATCTGCACTGAGGTCTGATTTTTTCCATAGAAACACTTTATCTGTCTCTGATCCGGATACTGAAGATGTATTAAAAAAAACTATAATAACTGAAGATATTTTTTTTTTTGTATACGAACTTCGTCCATTTTTATACCCTTCACCACACTGTGGTACAGGGTATTATGTCTTTGTGCATATGTTTGTAACAGCAAAAGGAAACGAGATAGACACAAGGTTCCTTTTGAGAATATGCCTAGAATCACTCTTTAAGTCGATTTATGAGTGTCGGTTCGTCTGTCCATGTTAAATTGTAAACAAAGTAAAGGTCGCATTTTTGATTCGAATTGGATGAAATTTGGCACAGGTCATTTATTTGGCCCAAGGACGAGCCCTATTGGAATTGGGAAAAATCGGTTCAGACTTTGATATAGCTCCCATATATATTTTCGTCCGATTTAAGGCAAATGACGCACCAAAGTACTTATATATCTTTCCATTTGCACGGAATTTGGCACAGTGTACTAAATTAATCCTAGAGTGATGTGTGTTAAGTTTCGTAAAAATCGGTTCAGATTTAGATATAGCTCCCTATATATTTTCGTCCGATTTTAGCAGATATATATCCTTCGATTTACACGAAATTTTGTATAGCATACTTTATTAAGTTTAGAACGATGTGTGTTCAATTTCATGATAATCGGTTCATATTTAGATATAGCTCACATATATATTAGATATTCATATATATTCTTCCGATTTTACATAAATGTGTGCTCCAAACTCCTAATGTTTTTCCGACTAACACGAAATTTGGCACTTTTTTTTTTTTTTTTTTTTTGAAATTGGTGAAGATGCAGCCATAGCTTCCATATTTCGAACGGGTGTCAGATTGAAATTGCCGGCATATAGAATAGCGTCTATCAATTTTGCTATAAATCATTTTCCATAAATTTGTCCCATGGTACGCATACGACTGTAAATCTGTCCGAATTAATTTAAATTTATCATAGGTTGCAGATTAACATGAGTATGTTCCTTCGAGGGAACATTGGCATGCAATTGTAAGGATACATATGTGGAATATAGAAAAAAAAATATTTTTGTTAAGAAAAAAATTTCCAATCTCTTCAGACTATTTTTTATAAAATTCTCACATTTTCTCTTCTCCCTATATTTTCATTTAATTTTCCCCATAATTTGCTACGAATAAAAATACAAATAACAATAATAGTAATAGTAATAATCAACATTGCAATTTATTACTTACCACACAAAAACGCTGGTAAACGTAATGAAGAAAAATTTACGACTTCGTGTCTTTAAGCCGTTGACTGGAGCCTTATATTTGGGATGCGGTTACGGCTAACGCAGACACACACACACAAGGGGAGGGAGAAATTTGGCCAATTAAAAAGAGTCCACAATTAATGAAATTCTTTGGCCCGTCTCTTAGTTTATCTGTTTCTTGAATCTGCAAGAAAAAAAGTGTTGAAAGAAAACAGAAGCGAAGGGGAAAAATTATAAAAAAACTCAAAATAATTTTCAATTTATTTATTCTGCAGTTGTACGAAACGTTTTCACTAAAATAATTAAAACATAAAATAAGAACATAATCAGCCAACATGAAAAAATGAAATAAAGAAAAAAAGAAGAAAGCAAACCGACAAAAAAAAAACTGTACATGATTTACAAAACAGTTGCAACATACATTTTGGACACTTTACACATTTCTAAGCTAATGGTTTTCGGGTTGCAGCTTCGCTTTCGCATTCTGTACACACACACACAAAGAGGAGAAGAAAAAAAAACTGCCTTTTGGTCGAATGAATGTTAATGCGAAACCAGCCAAAAGGAAAATGTAAATACCAAACACGAATCATGTTATTTAATTTTTCTGGATTAGCAAATTGCGTGAGTATGTGTGCAATGTAAGTGCATCAGTATATGTGTATGTGTGAGAGTGCTCTTCCTTGCATTTGGAAACATTCCTGACATGCCAAACCTCAAATACCCCAAAAAATGTTTTTTTCCTCAAATATGGGTCGTCCCATTCAGTACGGCGGTATATTCTTTAATTGAGACAGGCTGAGGGGCTAAGAGGCTTCTTTGTTGCTGTTGGTTTGCGTTTTTTTTTTTTTTTGGCGAATAGTGTATAAAAACCACTTGCGAATGTGGCGGCATTAATAAATGGTATAAATTACAAACTATTTGGCTAGATGCCAAAAATTTTTCACAATTACAACGTGAAAATGTTACCAACGCGAGCATCGCTTCACCATTCAACCAGTTAGCCAACTATCGTGCGGCTTGATGACCAGAGAAGAATGCTGGCATGTGTGTGTGTGTGTGTGTGTGTGGATAGGAGAATAGCATTAAAACCTAAATAGCTTGAAGCTCTAATTTTTGATGGGGAAAAATTAGGAATGTGTATTTGTGTGTGTAACCAAAAATGTGTTGGCATGAGAATAGTTTCATTCCATATGTGAGTATGGAATATAAAAATTATAAGTTAATAATTTAATTTAAGTAGAAGAATATTTTAATACTATAAGGACCTATTAAAGAGAAGGTGCAAAGGAAATCCCCCTTTTTTTGAAAAATCCTCGGTTTATTATAAACATTTAACTTTCTGCATAGCTCGAGCCGTGAAAAATTTCGGGATATTATGCATATCGTGGGTGGTAGTGGTAATATTTTTTTAGAATTACCAGCTGAGCATTCACAACGCTTTGGATACGTGGAGTGGGTGCTTCATCAATTTAATTTTAGAACAATACTTTATTTAGTACTAAAGCACATTTGTCACTCGGTGGGTATTTTAATAAACAAAATTATCGTATTTGTGATTCTGAAAACTCTAAAGTAATTGAAGAAAGTGCACGTTCTTTTGTCCGAGACATGGGATCGAAAAAATAATTCGTCCGAAGGTGTGATTTGACTTTACAGACATACGTAAATCAATCCTAAAATGTCTGAAATGGGTTTAGTGCAAATAACCATGGGGTCTAAAAAATATTTCGTTGAGGCACAGTTTGGACGAAGCAAAGTGTATTTATTCTTATTAGTCATAAGGCTGAGGGTATGCAAAACGAAATATTATAAAAAAATCCACTTGAATGAGTATTCGTTAGCAAATATTAAAAAATTGGTCTGAAAGTTTAATATGGGGGTTATGTCATAACATAGACCTTGGAAAAAATATTCTCTAAAAATACAACGCAGTCCTTGAAAAAATATTCCTGGTTCTTGAAAACCCATTATTCGAAAAATCTCCGCTTGGGCTGATCAAACTACTTCAAACTCCGTGCTTACAGCGGGTTTGGAAAATATTCACAAAAAATCCGCGTTTGATGAACCTTGAAAAAAATTATTCTTTTTTCACCCTTATAATTACCTTTGAAAAACTTTTCAGTAAAAAATATTTCTTATAATGATCTTGAAGAAATATTCTTTAAAATATCCACGCTTATAATAAACCTTGAAAATAAAAATAATTACGCTTTAAAATGGTCATTGAAAAAAAAATTTTTATAAAAATCCACGCTTATAATAGACCTTGAAAAACGTTCATTACGAAATCCACGCTTATAATGGATCTTGAAAAAAACATTGAAATATCCACGCTTTTAATTATCCGTACCTTGACAAAATAGTCTTTAAAATACCATGCCTATAATGGATACTGAAAAAAAGGAAGGAAGGCCGACATTATGATACCCTTCACTACTATGGGCATACTCAACAGATGTGTTCAATTGACGTCGCATTTTTCAAAAAATATAGACTTGAAATTGGACGAACTTATGCAATCTTTATCTATATGTGAACGGATCTTTGTCCTATTTCATAATATACCTATATATGTATTGAACAACGTGTTAATATATTTTAGATCTTTGGTGCATTATTTACAGAAAATCGGACGAAAGTATATGTGGAAGCTATATCGAAATCTGAACCGAATCGCCCATAGTTTGGGTCTTTGGTGCATCTAAATCTGTATCTAAATCTCAAGAGATTTCAACTAAACTTTACACACCAACTTCAGTGCGTTGTGCAAAATTCTGTGCGAATCGGTCATATTTTGGGTCGTTGGTGCACCATTTACTGAATCTACCTACAAATGTGAACCGATTTCAACGAAACTTTACACACAGTAGATTATACCAACTTCAGTGCGTTGTGGAAAATTTTGTTCCACAACGCCTGTATCATGTTTACAAATTATAATTGACGATCTAGACAGATCACACATGTCTAGATCGACTCAGCTAGTCAAGATATGACGATCGGTATACCTAAAGGTGGGTCTAGAATTAATATTACGCGGCGTTACATACTTTTGGGGCTGCACAAAGCTAAAATGGGCCTTGAAAAATTAATATTGAACCAGTAAGGAAAGTAGTAAAGTCGGACGGGGCCGACTGTATGATACCCTTCACCACTATGGGTATATTAAACAGGACTATTAACATGAAATTGGATGAAATAAAATATGTGATATTTATCTAAATGTGAATCTACCTAGATCTATCCATAAACATGTCATTCGTTTGTTACAATGGGACAAAAGTATGTAAATCGACTTCAAACAAATATAAATAGGTCATCCGTTGGCCTATATCTGTACTTCTAGAAAACGCAACTACGTAATTCTATGCTCAATTTTGTAAGCTGTGCAAAATTTGATGTCAATCCGACTAACATGAGCAGTTTGATGCCCAATTTACTTGAAATCGGGCGAAAATATATATGGAAGCTTTATACAAATATTAAGCGATTTCAAACAAACTTGTCACAGGTTAGGTTATACTAATTTCAGAACGTTTTATTCCAATTGGTTCCTTAGTACGTCAATTACTTAAAATCAATCTATAATAAAAGGGAGCTATATCTAAATCTGGACCGATTTTCACGAAACTTGGCAGACATCATTCCAGGCTCAATTAAGTACGTTATGCCAAATTTCGTGCAAATCGAAGGATATATAGGGACTTTGGTGCACCATTTACATGAAATCGGACGAAAATATATATGGGAGCTTTATCTAAATCAGGACCGATTTTCTCAAAACTTGGCAGACATCACTCTAGGCTGAATTCAGTACGTTATGCCAAATTTCCTGCAAATCGAAGGATATATAGGGACTTTCGTGCACCATTTACATAAAATCGGACGAAACTATATATGGGAGCTTTATCTAACTCAGGACCGATTTTCTCAAAACTTGGCAGACATCACTCTAGGCTGAATTCAGTACGTTATGCCAAAATTTCCTGAAAATCGAAGGATATATAGGGACGTTGGTGCACCATTTACATAAAATCGGACGAAACTATATATAGGAGCTATATCTAAATCAGGACCGATTTCTGGAAACTTGGCAGACATCACTCTAGGCTCAATTCAGTACGTTATGCCAAATTTACTGCAAATCGAAGGATATATAGGGACTTTGGTGCACCATTTACATAAAATCGGACGAAACTATATATGGGAGCTATATCTAAATAAGGACCGATTTTCTCGAAACTTGGCAGACATCACTCTAGGCTCAATTCAGTACGTTATGCCTAATTTCCTGCAAATCTATGGATATATAGGGACTTTGGTGCACCATTTACATAAAATCGGACGAAACTATATATTGGACCTATATCTAAATCTGGACCGATTTTCTCAAAATTTGGCAGACATCACTCTAGGCTTAATTCAATACGTTATGCCAAATTTCGTGCAAATCGAAAGATATATAGGGACTTTGGGGCACCATTTATATGAAATCGGACGAAACTATATATGGGAGCTATATCTAAATCTTGACCGATTTTCACGAAACTTGGCAGACATCATTCTAGACCTAAATGATTAGGCTGTACCAAATTTCGTGCAAATCGAAAGATATATAGGGACCGTTTACATTAAATCGGTTAAATATATATATGGGAGCTATATCTAAATCTGAACCGATTTTTCCCAATTTCAATAGGGTTCGTCTTTGGGCCAAACAAATGAGCTGTGCCAAATTTCATCCAATTCGGATCATAAATGCGACCTGTACTTTGCTCACAAAAATACATGGACAGACAGACGGACGGACGGACGGACATGCTTAAATCGACTTAAAAAGTGATTCTATGCATATTCTCAAAAGGAACCATGGGTCTATCTCGTTTCCTTTTGCCTGTTACAAACATATGCACAAAGACATAATACCCTGTACCACAGTGTGGTGAAGGGTATAAAAATTAAAAAAATCGTCAAAAATCATCGCTTATAACGGTCACCAAACAAATATCTTTAAAATAATTCAAGATTGACACCGCGAATAGTGGGGTAAGGGGACC